GGGAAAACTTCGGGACTATTTTTCTTCAGAGGTAAAAATAATAGCAATGGGGGAAATGGACTGAAGTTAGGAACAATTTCCTATATACAGAAATGGACCGTGAAAGTTAAAAAAGAGTTTTTACAAACAACAAAGAGAAACTACAAAATATCAATCCTTAGAAGTAAAAAGAGTCCTATGTAAATGAGGCAGGAAGTGAAATGTTGTGATTGGAATGGACAGATGATGATAATGGTAACATCCTTAGAATTACTTCCTTCCAAGTTTCTGTAATAACTTCGTACTCTTTAGCCTCCCTTAGTACCTGCCTTGCAAACTCCAACCTTGGATTAACTCAACCATCTGTCGTCCCCATCCGTGTGCTAGCAGCTGCCCTTGGCTAATGTGGTCTGACCTTGGCCGACCTTGGTTTTGCTCTAAGAATACAATCCCATGCCACAAATGGGCTTCTCCCACCACCCTGTAGCTCTACTAAGTTAGATCTCCACAACAATAAAAAGAAAAAAAAAAGTCCATGCCTTCTCTCTCCTGAAATTTCTAGTTTACTTACTATAAGCTAATAGGTCAGACATCACCGAGAAAATAGATGCCATCATTTGGGAATCTCTCATCTTTTACATAATTTTAAATACTAAAACTCACCAACACCTACACTCTCTTATCTTTTCCCTTCAACATTGCAACTGATAGAAGGTGCCTTCAGCTTTGAAAGGCCAGCCGTTTTACTTAGGTTTTAATGTTACCCCTCATCCTTCTCAAGGACATTTGGGACTTTGGCTCATTGCTATCCTGCATTCAACACTCCTTCTTTACAGCTTAGAAACTAAAACAGTATAAACATGTCAACCGAAAAAAAGCAAACAAAGGATAATCAAAGTCTGTCGTCAGCAAAGGATGACAACTGATCGCCAATATCCATGGGCACAGCCTTCGCCCTTGATGAAAGAAACTATGCTTTGAGCTGAGCCCAGAAAAACCTGGAATAGATCTTTTGCAGCTTCCCTCGCACCCAGGTGTGGCCATGTGGGTGAGTACGCAGACACGGTATTGCAACCTCTCAGGAGCACCCTCAAAAATGGGAGGACCTTGTCATCACTTCCTCCCATGCTGATGTTGACACAGCGCAAAGCTAGAAGGAGCTGGTGTTTGGGGAACCACCATAGCAGCCCAGAACTTCTTACTGCCGAACACAATGGGGGAGAAGAATAGACTTCTATCTAGTTTAAGTTATCGTTGCTGGGTTTCCTGTCATTAGGAGCCCAATCTATTCCTAACTGATATGCTAAAATCCCCTTTATCCCTCATCCCCCTAAAACTGCTGTCACACCCTCATCTGTCCCTCACACCCAAACACTTTGGGCCACCTACATAAACAGCCTCCCCATCTTCACCCCCTTCAGGTCTCAGCTGATTTCAGTATGACTTCTACCGTCATCCGGACAGAAACGGCTTCTGTCAGGCTCATGGGCCTCCATTTGCCAGCTCTCACCGCACCTGACGTTGTCCATTCTCTCTTTTTCAAAAGTATCTCTTTTGTAAGATCCTGCGATATCACACTCTCCTGAGTTTCCTTTGGCCTGTGCGGTCACCACTTCTCAGCCCCCTTGGCAAACCTCCGAGTATATTTCAATCATCTTCTCCATCACTGCTTTTTGGGTATGTCCAAAATGGAACTTAACATGCCTTGACTGTCCTGTCTCCCAAACCTATTCCTGCTCCAATCTTTCTCATNTTGGTCATTGATCTCCATCTGGGCTGGAGAGAAAGCTCCTGACTCTGAAAAGTTACGGGGCTGCCAACACCACAGGGAAATTCCATTTCTGTGGCCACACGGCCACGGCAGTAGGGTTCCTCCTCTATTAGGGTTTCTGTCGTTATTATTTTACTTTTATTAAGCAAGCTGCGGCCTCTGCTTTCCAGCCCTCGCTTTTAGTTACAGTAATCAATTTTTCAGTGTAACTGGCTGTAATTGTTGGCTTGGATATTGAGCTTTCATGGGCTTAGACAGAGTGCGTTCCCATGAAGGGTCTTCCCTATACCTCGCAGACAGATGGGTAATAATACCATACATTAATACCTCCACATTGGTTTATGTGTGTCTGACCACAGTGCAAGCATAATTATTTTTGCCCAGTAAAAGCTATTAGAGATCTATTTGGTAGGTTTTACGATCAATAGCTCCTGTGATATTTGTGTAGCAGCCACAGAATAATCAATTGAAGGTCATATAAAGTAAATTACCATCCTCCTATAATGATTCTTTTTTTTTTTCCTAGATGAGAATTGGGTTTTATTATTTCATCAGGAGCCTCTTACAACGCATGCTCCGTCTCTTTGGGAAAGACACATCTAAAAGTTGCGAGCGTTGTTTGGAACATAGTATTAATATCCATTACTTGAATTTCTGTTATCGGGTTATTGAATTAGTGGATTCACCCTGGAATTCCTTCCAAACCCTTTCTTATGGACTCAGTGACACAGTTAATAACAGTCAGGAGCAAATGGACGTCTTGTGCTGCACGGTGGAGTGAGTCACTTTGCAAAAGTCAATCTTTGTAGCTGTCTCTTTAAAGCAAATTTAGAGTTGGTTAAATGTGTTATATTGACAGCGTGACCGAGCTTCTCTCTTTAAACCCTTTCTAGAGAGTGACTGGTGAACTAGGTGGGAGATGGAGTCAGGAGTGCCGAACACCAATGCACTGTCCACCAGGAGCTCCAGGTAAAGTTGGGGTGGAGGCAGGATGGGGGGAATGTACCTGCTTTCCAGGGGGGGGGCCTCTCCTTCACCCAAGGTGCCTAACCTGGATTTCAGACTTGCAGTGCGCAAGTTGGAGCGATGGCTGTGCCTCTATAATAGATTGCAATTTGCCAACCGGAAGCATGCAATCCCCCAACTGTCTTAAAGGGACCCATTTTCAGAGTGTAGCCTTTCTTTTCGTGGGTGCAATCAGTTGTGCACTGAAAAACCGCACCACAGTTGGATAACTGCAGGCACAACAGGCCACGGGAGGCCTCTTTGCTCCAAATTTTGTACCTTCCACGAACTGCACTTGCAGCAAATGGGGAGCGCGGCAGGAGCTTTCTGAAAAAATTTGGGCCAGGAAATTCTCCATGGAGGGAGCAGGCCAGGAGAGAGACGATTACTCACTTTCTTGAAGACAAAGGCCAATTGAGACATCCTTTTCTTCTCCCCACAGTCCACCTGGTCTGCAGAGTGCGGCTTGGGAGCCAAATGCCAGGTACCACAGGGGACCCGATCGCCTGGGGCATTTCCAGGAAATCTGCAACTTTTCGCCAACGGACAAGAAATCATCTGTTGAAAAAAATAGGAACGATATTGGTAAGTGTGTGATACAATTCTGGTGATAAGTGAATGAAGTGTTTTAGAATAAACAGCAGCAGGCATTTTATTTCCTTTCGAGAAATGATTATTATTGCTGTGACTTCTTATTTGCTTTGGGGACAATAAATGCAGACGTTAAAATAGTAGTGCCTCTAGGTTTTAACCAAGGGATAAATGAGGAGGCATTTTACATTTATACCTAATATATTTATGTATTTGCCCATATATAAAGGTTCATACGAATTACACATNCCTTTTCCTAAACCTAACTGTGATGCTATTACAATATGGTGTTTAAAAGAGAAATGCATGCAGGTAAGTTCTTTCTCTCCCCACTCACTCAGTTTTCAACCACAATGATATAAACTCCAGCTCTGTGACATGATTCCATTTCAGTGATTGCAATTTTAAAAGTGGCTTTCATTTTCTTAGCGGAGGTAGTGGCTGGGGCAGAAAGAGATGGTATGTCGTCTAACGCACACTTAGGCAGAATAACACTTTCCTTCTGTGAACAACAAATCCCACTTTTTTTCCCCCCCTGGAAACTATCTTGCTCTCAGAGGCAAATGCATCAGCGTACAGGCAGGACTGACTTATGCCTTGACATGAAATGTGTCACCTTCAGCGCTGCGCCTGCACAGGGGCAAATGCACGTATTGAATGGACCTGTCCTTCCGCTGCCAGAGAAAAGCCCGGATGATACAATAGGTCTCTACCAGCCCCGTTTCCACAGTGGTTCACGACATCATTTTTCCTGTTATCTGTCTGTCTGCCTCCACCCCTGCTCGCCACCTAATGAGTTTTCTAAAGGACACTTCTGGAGTCGCAATTGCCTAAGACTGTGGGCTGTCATCGTTTTGCAAGGATAAACAAAATATATTCAAATAGCTCATGACTTTACAACATATAAAAGCTAGATAAATTAGGGAAAATGGACAGGTGCACATGGACAAACTATATGGCTCCAACACCTCTTTCTATGTTATTCTTTGTGAAAAAAAGTTTTTGGGGTTTTTTTTTTTAGCATTTAATATCAATTGTCTTACAGTTCTATTCTGCCTATACCATCTAAAGTGTAACTGCCTCCTACCCTCCACTGTTCTCCCACCCCCATTTTTAAAAACCTCTTTTCCATGATTTGAATATTGCCTGAGATAAGGGAATGCCTGTTCAGGTCTGATTTCATATTGTTTCTCAGAGGCTGATAGGGCGTCATTCACAGAAATGAATACTAAGAGCTATAAGCTGTTTGCAGTTTGGGAATGGGGAGGCTCGGGGATTCTTCTGATGGCGAAATGATTTGTCAAACATCAGCCCTTAATTATGCGGGCTCCTTCGCCCTCCACTTTCCCAGAGTGCGCTTTCCTTTCTCCCACAGAGATAGAATAGAAACTAATCTTCAAAATCTAAACATCCCAAGCCGGGTCCTTTTGTGCAGGCATCTTGCTCTTCGCGCTCCGTGCCAGGCGGTGCGAAGCGCGCTCCTATTTACATTCGCGGGTCCCCCGCTGCTCGGACCCCGGCTGGTAGGCAGACCATCCATCATTCACCCTCCTCCCGCCGTGCGCCCAGAGCTACGGCCAATCCGGCGGCAGGTGGGGCCGCACCTGCGGGACAGCCCGCCGCTTCCCTGCGCTCTTCTAGCCTCGCCTCCCTGGCTGGAGGTGCCCTTCCAAGCCCCTGCGTTCTCCAAGGCCAGAGCCGGGCAGGTACACTCCGGTGACAGGGACCCTGCTCGCGCTGAGCCCGCCGCTGGTGGCCAGGGGAGCCAGGAACGTGGGAGGGAGGACACTTCTCCTTTATTGCATATCCCCTGCTGTGGATTGGTTGTGTGTGTGTGTGTGTGTGTGTGTGTGTGTGTGTGTGTGTGTGTGTGTGTGTGTGTGTGTGTGTGTGTG